TGAAAATTACAAGAAATTTATAACGTCATCTACAAAATTTTATTACATTCTTAAAGTAAACCAACAATTCTTATGAAAATTAAGACATATTATGTCTATAAGTTTACGAAAATGAACATATTCTAGATAGACCCCCTAGCCCAATGAGTGGCGTTGTGTAATTAGTTCTATCAAAAAATTTAATAAATGTGTTACAGAGAAATTTAACAGTTACTTAAAGGTATCCTTAGTATAAGTTAAGTAAGACAAATACTCACTAAGGGACTGCTAAAGTAATTATTAAACGTGTCTAAGTTTGACACAGAAAGTGACGAGAAATGACATTTTTGTCTTACTAAACATTTTTAAAAAGTTACACTGTCAAACAGCGTTACAATTTTTTTTTATTTTAGCTATTTTGTAATCGTAAAATATATTTTTTTAATTCAATTATAGCTTCTATTGTCAACGTGTAAAGCTCATTTTAAATTGTGACTTAATCTTCTCCATTACAGTATTCTTTGGAATTTCTTTTTGGCATGTCGTGAACTTATCTGAGATCTGAAATAAATAATAACTTAAATACAAAAAAAAAACAAAAAAAAATAAGGTGACTAGTGGATAATTTTATGCCTTAAAAGACAATTTTTTTAAACTATAGTGTAAAGTTCTTAAGACCTAGTTCAAAGATGTGCCTAAAGCTATTTTATTTTATACAAAAATACATTGGCGACTACAATAATTCGTTTTTTTTTAAATAAAATGTATCATAATAGGCCGAAAACATGGCGGTCACCGGCAGGTTGCCAAATTGGTCATTTTAAAATCTGACTAGTATTATAAAACTGTAAGCAAATTGTAAACTAAACTAAACGTGTTATTCGCAAACTGACCAATTATCTATCTATATTTTTCCTGTATTTTTTTTGTATTCAACTTATAAAAAATGCCCACTTAATTGTTTTGACGATTTGACGTCGAAAATGCACAAAATATCAAGCAAGTCAAATTGTGAATGATTCGTGTACAATTGTCTAACGCAATATAAAACTAGTCTGATTATAAAATGGCGATATTTAAACAATGTCAACCATCTTACAAGACCTGGGACGATATTTGTTTACGATTATGGAAAGCAAATAAAAGAAAAACAAAAAGGCCTATCTTTATCTAAATCCAGATTAATCATTATTAAATATTTCAACTACTTAAAAACTATACTATTAAAACTTTTCATAAAATCACGAAATAAAAAAATATAACCTAAAATCTAAAATATTATTTGTCATACTGCAATTGTACTCTTGAATAAACATCTATTTATGTAGAAATATGTCTATTAAATTAAACAATATTATCTTTACTGATATATAAACATGAGCGACGGGCCGCGTCCGCGAAATAATACCAGTGCCACTCATCCTGATGAAGGGCCCCCGATCGACTCGAAACTAGTCGGTGCCGCCACCGGACGTATATACGTGAGTGTTTAGCCGTGTTTATATATCAGTTTAGTATAATGTCTCACGAAAGTTTGAATAATTTAATATTATTATATCTTAAAATTAACAATATCACTCCAAAATTATAAAGAGTTTTTTTTCGTTGTATGAAAATTCAGAACGAAAAATTTTGTAACTTTTTTAAATTTGACACTTAAACTAGGGCTTGCAAATATAAATTATCAATGTATGTAGGAAGGTAAATTAAACATTAAGTGGAATTCTTATAATCGTAATAATTATCATAAACATAAGGATTTAACTAAATCTGTAAAATGACTAATTCAATTCCATTATTACAGAAGCTAATTAATATGAAAGTTTTGGAACATATTTTTGGTATAGGATTATTGCAGAAACCACAATTTATAACTTACGTAAACTTTCTTGACATAGATTTGATAAAAAATCATAATTAGAAATATCGATTCCATTTCATGTTATGAATCGATTTTTTATTGGACATCGATGGAACGCATTTGAACGCATGTGATGTCAAAAAAATGTAAGTATATTTTTCTTACTTGCCAGTAGCATAAAACATTAAAACCTTCATGGACTGAATTAAAAGTTCTGACGCGAATCCACATTCTTTAAAAAAGAAAACCTATATTTTTGTAACATGCCAGGAGCATAGAATATTAAAACCTCCACGGAGTGAAGTAACATAGAACATTATAAAATTCACAGAGTGAATTAAATAAGATGACAACTAGAGTTACTGGCTTTGTGTCTCACGTGTGGGTTCCCGAAGGCGCCGCAGCACTGGTGATGGTTCACGTTCTTGGTGTGGTGATGTCCATGAGGCAGGACGCTGGATGGCGCTGGTGGGTTCTTGTCTTTTATTGACTCCTGTTTCACTTTAGAAGTACAAAGTTTGTGATGTCCGGGCGCTATCCGTGCTTTGAAACGACCCACTTTCCCTTGCTTCGGCAGATTGGTTTCCACGTTTTCTGATATCGTGCAAACATGTCCTGATTCAGTGTTCGCGTCTAAATATTCAGTGTCGGTTTCTGTAAGGATATTTCATAAAAAGTCAATATTGGTTAAAAAAAATTGGAAGACAACAAAAAGTAAACATTATATCGACTATTATATATGTATTAAGCTAAGGAACTAGCTGTTACCCGCGACTCCGTCTGTGCGGGATTAGAAAATAGTTGTAGCCTGTCTCAAACTTGCTAAATATACATATAAAATTTAATAAAAATCGGTCATGTTGGTACGAAGGTGTATGGTAACACGAGAATTTTATATATAAGATAATTAAATGAAAATATGACATACCGATTTCATCTTCCCTGTGGGGAGTCTGCGCGGAGTCAGTTCGTAGCGCGGGACAGGAGTCCGCGGCTGCTTCCTCCTGTGTTGCATTGCCTGCACACTGTTAAAACAAAAAAAAATATAATTTTATCTGTACATAGAGCAAACACAAAATAATCTACAACCAACATGGTTGGAATATAAGTGGATTTTTAAATAAACGTTAAAACTTAACCATTTGGGCGCCGATACTATGACGTCCGTCTTTTTACGGCGAAAAAAGACCTGTATTTTTTTAATTTCAGTTTCAACTACTGAAGAATGGTGTTTATGTACTTACCCTGGGTTCGAAGAGACAGTTGTCTTGTTCCCTGTCTTTAGGTGTGGGCACGGCCGCTCTACAAGCTGACGTCGTACTGTAACTTAAGGGTTACCACAACTATACAACTACACTCAAAAGTAATTTTATAAGCTTTAATTACAAAAAAGAAAAAGTCAAATAAAGGGGTCCCGTTGGGCCGTTGGACCATTGGGGTAGTATGATCGACCCAAAGGGAAACAATGAAATAAAGTTCACAACGCGTCCACAATAACATAGAGCTTAATAAAAATTCAAGTAAACATATTATAGTTAAAAAAAATAGAATTATTATTTTATATTACTTTGTTATTATACAAGTATATAAAATATTTGTATTATGTATTCATTATACATTTATGTGAAGTGAAGGTTAAATATTTTCTGTGTATTATGTATAAGTTTATTTCAAGTGTGTAAAAAGTTACCAGAAGGAAGAATTCAAGCTGTCCAGTGTAGCAGGAGGGTCCAGTGACTCCGCGTCCGTCCAAATACCTCCCACACTGGCTGATGTTGATCTTGACTCTGAAAATTATAAGGTTAAACTATCACTCTTACATAACTAGATGGTGTTGTTACTAATCTGGAAATAAGTTTACATTTTTATCCGCAAGGCCTAAGTCGGAATTAAAACCTATACATATTAATAAAATTAGAGTGTCTGTATGTAAGATCGAGGAAAAAATATCGTGTCGTTCAGCATATTTCCGTTACTGATAACGAAAAAAACAATTTTTAATTTTTTTGTCTCTATGTCTGTACGCAAAGTTGTGTTTGTTCTGAGTAATCTCCAGAACGCCACGTTCAATTTTGTCGGGACTTTGAAAGATAGGTAGCTGATATACGCGGGCATGTTATAGGCTATTTTTTTTAATCCTCCGTCAAGAAGAAGTCGGGGATGACCGCTAGTTATGAACTGTGAACATTTTGCCTTGGTTTTCAATTTTCAAATATTTTACAAAATATAAATATACAGAAATGGGAAGTTAATAAATATTTGTAACAAATACCTTTGACAATCTGATTAATTTGTCTATTTTGGTATTGTTCCAAGAACTCCCCTCGTTCTCTTTCGACTCTATTCGGTGAGTTGGCTATACTGCGCCTCGCTACGTCCTGGAACGTGACAGGAGAATACATCCGTCTCTCTTCCACAGGTGACGTCACAGTCGGAGCCTGGTTCCTCGGTGTTGCTGGCTGCAAAGGATTCCCGGCACTATTGACTAGAGAATTAGGCGGAGAATTGATTGCATTTGGTAGATGGTAATCTTTATTTAGGTTCAAGGTATTTCCGACGTTAGCTGTAAGAGAATTGGGTGCAGAATTGATTGCATTGTATTCTTTATTGTTTAGTTGTTGTGCGGAGTACTCGGCGATGCTATCTCTGACGTCAGCGGCTCGCTCCCACTCCAGTTCTGTGACGGGTTGTAATTGGGATATCATTTTTGTAAGAGACGGACGAGACTCTCTACCGTCAAGCCAATATGTCTTCATTGCTCCTAAAAATAAGATTGAAAATTACAATGATTCAATCTTCAGTGTATCTTACTAATAGATGGTTTCTGAGATCAAAATCTCCGTTTAAAATATAATTATCTTTTTGTCAAAGTTAGGTATGACGATATATTTTTATAGCGATTTTGGTTTCACAAACCAACGGTGAATCTTCTTACTAATGTTATAAGTACGAATGTTTGGATGGATGGATATTTGTTATTACGTGTCTCTAGAACGGCTGCATGTTGATGAAATTTGGTATAGATGTAGAACATAGTCTGGAATAACACATAGGCTTATGATCCCAAAAATATGTACCATTTCCAGAAAATATGTTTCATTTACCTACATATTTATTCTATAACTCCGCAACTGTTCAACGCATTTTATTAAAGTTCTGTACAGACAAAGTCCCGTGCCAAAAGTAGTTTAAGGAAAAAATCTTATATTTATTTTCCTATTTCTGTTACTAACATAGGAAAGACAAATAATCACTTACCTTTCCCTTTAACCTGTATCTCACCCCTTTCAACAACTTTGTACGAGGGCGAGAGTAACTCCTGCGTGGTCTGAGAGATGTGTATCCTCATAGCTTCGGATGTTGACTCCATGCGGGATGCTGTGTTCACAGAATCCCCGAAGAGACAGTAGCGCGGCATCTTCAGACCCACTATACCAGCCACCACCGCGCCTGAGTGTACCCCAACACGTATAGAGAGGTGGGAACCTGATGAAAATGGATTTCAATTAAAAATGTGTAAGATTTTTTTATATAGTAGCTGTCGCCCGTGACTCCGTCCGCGTGGATATATAAAAAAACTTAATTAGTGTAGCCCACCCATCCATCCATCCACATAAACATTCGCATTTATAATATTAGTAAATTAAATAAAAAGCAGCTCTTCAAGGCATACATTCGAAAAAAAGAATAAATAATCCTAATAATATCCTATGTCCGTCACCTGGCTCTAAGCTACCTCCACACCAATTTTCAGCCATATCGGTAAAGCCGTTCTTGAGTTATAAATAGTGTAACTAACACCACTTTCTTTTATATTATATAATAAATTGCAATCTCGCAAATATTATAAATGCGAAACTTTAGATGGATGGATGTTTCTTTAAATCTCCGGAACGGCTGAACGGATCTCGATGAAATTTGGCAGATGTAGAACATAGTCCTGAATAGCACATAAGCTACCAATTAAGTTTTTTTAATTATTTAATTAACCTATTCTTACATAGGATGGTTTATAAATTTTTATTACCTGTGCTGGGATCCTTCAGGTCAGTGATAGCGTCGACCATATCGAGTGCCATGTCGCAAACTTTCTCAGCGTGGTTGTCCTCTTTCTCCGGAGCCCCGGACACCACCATGTAGGCATCCCCTATTGTTTCTACCTACATATTAAATGTTTATTTAAAATTTTATATAGTTATGATGTTTGCTTGTAGTGTAAACTTAACAATCTTACTAATATTATAAATGCGAATGTTTGAATGAATGAATGGATGTTTGTTTGAAGATATCTCCGAAACGACTGAACGGATCTCGATGAAATTTGGCATAGATGTAGAAAGTAGTCTGGAAGAACACATAGGCTACTAATTAAGTTTTTTATAATTCCGCGCTAACGGAGTCGCGGGCGATAGGTAGTATATTAATATAGCAATTGTAATACGGTCGTACAATAGAATTGTTCGGAATATTCTCTCTTGGTTTATTGGCGAAGGATTTTATAAAAAAAATATCGTCCTAATATAACCAAGAAATAAAATAATGTAAATAACGTACATCAATAAATTAATCGACTACCTTTATTTATGTTTATTGAACACTAATTGTGATAGTTTGTTACGACACTCGCGGGACTAAATACAATACGTAATTGAATCTATATGTTAATTTCTATGCTATCTGTGTGTTGTAAATTAGATCTGGGTTGTATAAACCACTAATGTTTATTCTATTTTAACTAATATTATAAATGCGAATGTTTGGATGGATGTATGTTTGCAGGTATCTCCTGAACGGCTGTACGGATCTCGATGAAATTTGGTATACATATAGAGCAAAGTCTGGAAAAACACATCGGCTACTTATTAAGTTTTTTAATGCCGCGTAGGCGTAGTCGCAGACGACCGTTAATTTTGCAATAAAGTCAATAAATTCTTTGGTAAGGAGACATAATATTAATAATGTTTTGGAGTTTGTCGAAGTTCTAAAGTTTCGACAACAAAGTTCAAAATGTTAAGTTAATAATTCAAAGACCTTTCCTTTGAAATGTCAACTTGAATACTTAATCTGATTCATGTTAATATTCTATTTGTAAACCAATTCGTAACTTCAAATAAATTTAGTGAAATCATGGACCAGAGATTGTCAAACTTCTTTTCAATAACCCCATTTCATGATTTTTTATAACATAAGAGGGCAAACCAGCAGCGGGAACACTGCAGTGTTCAACGACGCCCATGGACATCAGCAATACCAGAGACATCGCAGATGCATTGCTGGCGTTTGAGGTGGTGATAAGCTCGCTTCTTGAAGGACCCTAAGTCGTATTTAACTGTGCTCGATGTATTTCTCCGTTTGAGAACTCTTAACTGCTCCTGCCATCGCTCAACCCCTCCCTATCCTACGTGACCTCAGGGGTTCTGGACTTTAGAATCACTGTAAGATCCTAAAGAATTTTGCAACAATTCAAATCTTTCCATTTACTTTGGTTTACTTTATAAGAGCAGAGGGCAAACCGGTAGCGGGTCGCCTAAAATTATTTGATCTGATGCCCATGGACATCCATCATAGGAAACGTAGATGCGTTGCCGGCCTTAAAGGCAGGTAAGACCTTTTTTTGAAAACACCTAATACCTAACTGTTTGTAAATACTAAGGACAGTGTGTTCCACAACGCGGCTATGCGAGGTTACTTACCTCCTTACTACGTGAAGTTTCTAAAACGCAAACACTAAAAAAATAAATTTCACAACTCACCTTATAAACTCGATTTCTTTCCGTAAGGGTATCAAAGATGGAGTACATTGCGTTGAGCATGGAGACCACCTCCATCGGCGTGATGCGGGAACAGATCTCCGTGAAGGTGACCACGTCAGAGAAGAGGATGGACACGCTGTCAAACATCTGCAGAGGAAAGAACAACGTAAGACTCTAAGAGAAAAGTCCAAAAGTCCACTATTGGATAAAGGCTTAGGTTCATAAAATTGCAAGAACATAAAACTAATGTTATTTATTTATTTTATAAAAGGCTGTGTAAAATTAATTCTTGAAAGAGACCCCCAAAAATGAGGTCAGGTCCTTACAAGAATAATCTTGGATACGCGTCTGGTGATGATACTCTGATTGGTCTATTAAGGCAAGGATCATTTGCAATTTTATTATATTTAAACAGTTGGCAAGTTTTTGAATAATATTTATAAGAATATGAAAGTTGAATGAATAAATGTATATTTATACAAAACTTTTGACATCTAATTAATACAAGTCTAGACCTTTTTATATTGTATGCAGAACGAGAATAACTAACTGAGATATCTTACATAAATAGATCAAATGTTAAACTTTTTGTCCTTGCGATGAAAATTAGTAAAATAAAAGTTTTATAAAGATCAAATTATTTTTGTAAAGCCATTTTTATTTTATATTTAAATTGATACTAATATTATTAAATTACTGAGAACTTATTAAAATTTTATAAGGACAAACCTGAAATATTACGTTTAAGTAATTTCGAGTGTGGCACTTAAGGGTGAGTTGCATCAAATCATCGCTTAGAGTTTTCGTTATGGTTAATTGTAACGATAAACATTAACGTGAACTTTAACTACGAATTGTTTAACCATGACATGTATATTTATAAAAATCAATTGCTGTTCGTTAGTCTCGCTAAAACTCGAGAACGGCTGAACGGATTTATCTTATCTTGGTCTTGAAATGTTAGTGGAGGTCTAGGAAAGGTTTAAAAGGTGAGAAAAAATTCGAATAATAGCCGGGAACTAATTAAGTTTTTTTTCATTCCACGCGGACGGAGACGGGGGCGACAGCTAGTCTCATAAAAAAGTTGAAGTTAAAAGGTTGACAAGGTTTATATGGGGATTTTATTTACAATGACTTCACTACATCCCTTGAGGAAAAATATAGGATTTTTTAGTTGATGCATCTCACCCTTAACATCTTACCTCACAAGTATCGATGGGATTTTCTCCATTCCTAAGTCTATCAGCAACTTGTTTTGGTATCATTTGGTACAACAGTTCGTCTGTCCTCTTCATCTCTTCGTCCAGCTTTCTCATAGACTCTTCTAACTTCTTACTCTTCTGTTGCTCTTGGTCTAGTGCTAATTTAAGTTCAACAGATTGTTGAGTACCAGCCAACATAAGGTCTCTGAAAATGTGCGATTTGAAAGTAAATTGAAAATTTGTTTATGAAATAATATCACTGTTGTAAAAAATATGTGAAAACTCTTCGAAATATATTTATTTTTTAGATTTAATTACGTTTTTATATGCTTTAATCAAATACTTTTATGGTTTAATTTATATAAACGTTTGAATTAAAGTCCATTTTCACTGTACACTTGTGTACACATATTAGTCAATTCTGTATTGACCTTATTTTCAGACATGTATTTCAACAGTGGAAGCCCATTATTACCTGCTAAAGTCGTGCATCGATAAGTCGTTGATATAAAGTCCGGTGGAGACTAGAGCTGCAAGGTCAGGCATCACGGGCGTGCCTAGATACATCATCATGCGCCAATTATCCATGTAGATCATCTGACCTGGTATAACCGAAATTAGACTATATTCAAAAGACTGTAATACCAAAGTTGTCTGCCAGATTGGGATATCGGTATTTCATTTTAATCCAATGTCTTAAATTCTCGTTGCCATGGGAAACAACTGTTACTTGTTTTAAAATTATCTGTATGTTGCTTCTGTCTTACCTTCCAGAAGTTTTTTTTTTATTTCAATATATGAAAAGGTATATAATGATGAAATTGTGCTAAATATTATGTACTGTTTCACTAGAGAATTTATCTAGAAGTAAAATATTTTGAAGTGTACCTATCTACTTATAGAAACTTCGTAAAAAACCTAATATCAAAATCTACTTATTTGTGCTTTTTAACAATTATTTTCTAAAAACATCTTAATCGTTTGATATATCTACAACTTTAGCGATTAGCAGAAATTAAAAAGGTGCTATTTTATATGCAAATTGCGAAGCCGGTGCTGAAAATTGTACTGTAAAATGATAATGAAGTTTGTTGTGCCTTTATAAGGCTACCTTTGAGTTGTAAGTTAATAACATCAGGTAAGCGTCTTCCGTCGTAAGCATATCGTTTTTTTGGAGTAGGGCCTGAAAATTGTATGCATATCTTTAACCTTTTGATGGTTCTTTTTTTTTAAAAGGAAAAACTCTTTACGAACTTCATCCAATTCTAAAGTCAAACCAACCATTGACTTAAGTCCTTCCCTCCATTGGATACTAGATACATTTTTTATTTGTGAATAAATTTACTATAAATATATTGTTAACTAACGTTTGACTACGATTTCGTCAGTACAGAATTAAAAAAGATATATAAGACTTCATACTGCACAAATAAGCTACCTTCCAAGTGAAAATCCTGTCAAAATCGTTAGTCATTTTAAATAGATGCGGATTTGTGGACATACAGATAAATAAAAATTAAAAAAAAATGTTTTATAAGCATTTAAAATAAAAATATACTTATTTTATTAATTGGATATTTATTGTATACTATACGTATTTATTTATTTATCATATTTTTAATATACTACATTTCATATCCAAAAAATATATATATACAAAACATATTATATTAAAAATACAACACCGGCTGCGGAATCCCATGACTCAAACAACCAGTGGTCAGGGCTGCAGAGACAGGAACCTTCTCACGATGCGTGCGATTTCTAGGATAATTGCCTTTTGTATCGGGCCCTTAATCCAACTGTTTAGCGAGAGCTTCTTGAGATGTTGGTCGAAGCTCTTCGCTATCTAATGATAGTAATTATTATATCCCTATTGTATAAAATATTATTTTCTTTTTTTTATAGAATTGTCAACACGGTTGCTTCGAATTTCTACAACTAATTAAAGCGAAAAACAAGAGAAAAGATCGTTGTATTTCTCCAATTTGTCCGTTGAACATAAATCTTGTTGAATATCTTTTTATTTACACGTGTTTGTTATCCCGAGGTAGTTCATTGACCTTTCGTTAGAAGGACAAAATTACGAGAATATTAAGAGTTTTTGTTTTTATCAAAGAGAATGTAATAATAAGTTTTGATGTTAATATTACGATAGTGCAAATTCAATTGTATTTATATTAATAATTATTTATTTACATAAACCACAAAATTATTAACAAGACAAATAACATTTTATGATTATAAAATGTAAAGCAATAATTTAAGCATTATTTAAATAACACTAAGTGTTGATTTATACAAGTTTTTATGATTTGTTTATAGTGAACTCCAATAGTTATATCAGAAAAGCACAGGGTACCTGGAGGAGGGGAGCACGGCTGTGCCACCGCCGTTTGATAAATTTTATTGGTTATAAAGTATAAAACATACCTTTAAGCCTTAGATTCTTTTCCGTAGTACCGTCAGATTCGTCAGAAAGTCGCAACAATTCATTCCTTTTGTCTGGTGCTTTCTCATGCATTACAGCTTCCACTGTCACCAATTCGAAGATATTATTTGTACGATTCAATATCTAGAAATAACAAGAACAAAAAACAACATTAATTACAAGTAAAAATATATTTGTTGCTGATAAATAACAGTGAGGGAAATGATGCCCGCAAGGAAAGAATCTAAATTGGTAGCCTGTGTGTTCTTCCAGACTATGTTCTACATCTATGCTAAATTTCATCTAGATCAGCCGTTATGCAGATACCTTCAGACAAACGTCCATCCATCCAACCATCCAAGCATTCGCATTTATAATATTGTCAAGACTACACTGAAATTCGACTGCCGTAACTTGTATTATTATGATGAAAATATTTGATTTTATAGAAGTTTCGACAGTGGAATGTAGGTTACATTTACGCTATTTTACTATTATGAAACATTTAATTTAAGCAAAGTAGGTATATTATTTAAATATAGAAATGTCATGTAAATAATTCAATGAGAAATTAACAATAAATATTGACTTACTGTTTCAAACTTGAACGCTATCAAAGGACGCACAAGGTCAAACCAATTGGTGATTTTCTTCCCAACTAGATCGGGCAGGATGACCATCAGAGAATTACCGATACTTCGTACCACCATATCTGATCTGTAAACCTTGTCTTTTCAGCATATTTCTTTATATTACGAACGTTAAACTCATCACGAAAGCTAATTTTATTTCGAAACATGAAGACTAACACAAGATTTGAATTCATTTTTACGAATAAATAATTTTAAAACTGCTGATTTCAATCAATTGAGTGTTAAAATAACAATTTTAAAATGTTTAGGTAGGTAAATTTAAATTTATAAAACTTCTTAGTTTTGAGCGCCATCTTTTGGGTAAAAGTGAAGGATACACTTTTATCGCTTCCTCTAACGCCATCTAGCGAACAAAATTTTAAACTACACAAAAGTTAAAATATACGATTTTATCATCTTTTTTCCGCATTTAACCTTTAAAGTTAGTTTTTATTAAACAAAAATGTTAAAGGAACAGCAATTTTTTGTAGAGTTTACTTAAAAACTTACCCAAAGACGATGCAAAATGGAAATATCTCGAAGAGTACGGAGGCGCTGATTGGGAGATGTTTCTCTTCTCGTGTCATAGCAAGAGAAGCTAATGTAAACGCTCTGTTGTCAAAAGTCAGCTGAAAGGTGACATGTACTGTGTCGAATAGCAACTCTTCACGAACTAACTCTATTCGCATTTCTTTGTGGTAGAAATGTCGAGCGACCTGCAAATATAATTGATCTTCTTCATATTATGACAAATTGTAAAAAGTATTTTAGTAAATGAGCTGTTTTTATACAAAATTTTCGATAAAACTAATATCGGGGGCGTAGCTCAGATGGTAGAGCGCTCGCTTAGCATGCGAGAGGTACCGGGATCGATACCCGGCGCCTCCAATTCCTTTTTGTTCTTTTTTGTTTTATTTTTATTATCAAAAAATAGGTACAAGTTATTTATTGTAGTCTAATTGAAACGAAGAAATTAAATAGGTATCGAGGAATTAAATCAAAACTATACCTCTCTTATTTGGCCCATCGCGTAGAAGACAAATCCTCTTCGCTTAGATCTATAATGCAAAGTAAGACCGTGTCTAGTTTCATTTTCACAAATGAAACTTGGTGCACGCATTCTTGGGTAACTGAATTTTAAATACTCATGTAGATTATCAAGCCCGTTGAGAAAGTCTCTCATATGTCGTCCAAGAACCGATAGCACCCTATCGTAGCCATACTGGGAGACGAAACCAACAAAGTATACTCCCATTTGATCCATGAATTCACGTTCCGAGATGCCCAGTACCTGCAATGAAATAATATTAAGCGCCTGACACTTTTTATAAGCAATTTACTTGTCGTGACTTTTTGGTATGTTTTATATTAAGTTAAACATACTTTAACCGGATCAGTGAATTATCTAATACATAATTTCATCACACTTGACTATCGGGGGTGTAACTCAGTGGTAGAGTGTCTGCTTCGCATGCTGAAAGTCCTGGGTTCAAATCCCAGCACCTCCAAATATTTTTTCATGAAAATTTCTTTTATTTGAGCTTAAATTTTTTTGTTACCTACATTTTCTTTTAGTCAGAAAAATAAAAAGATAAATAGTACTTAGTACATGTTTTCCTTTATAGCAAGAACAATTAATAAAAATAAAACCACACATTTTAAAAGGCAACATTTGCAAAAAGGAGATGTGGCCCATGAGGGGATCGAACCCGCGACCTTCGCGTTATTAGCACGACGCTCTAACCAACTGAGCTAATGGGCCGTTGCTACAACGAAAGAAATATTATACCAAGTTAGTTTTTCCAACTCAACAATAAGAAAAAAACAATCATAAAGTTCGGCTCAAATGGTTGATATCTCTTTTATATTATAATTACTAACTAATTATTTTGACATCACAAATATATTTTTTTAAATGTCAGATACATTTAGTTTGGGAACAATATGACGCTTACCTGAATGAAAATCGGATTGTTTTGGTTATTTAATAAAGTGTGCAATTTCGATTGTAAATTGTAATGTGCCATTTAAAATTAACGACTTTGGAGAGCGTTTCGCAGCAATCTGCTTTGAATTGCCGGCATTTATAGCTAATAATATTCACTTTTAAGGAATACAAAAAGAAAGGACGAGAAAAGAAAAATCGCACAAATTTTTAAGCGTACAACCTAAAACTAATTTATATCATTTTTTACAAATGATTAGAAGCACACTAGACAACCAAAAGTAAAGATTTTCGTTCTATATTAAATCTTAAAACATTCAAAATGGCGGGAATAGAAATTTAGATTCGTATTACATCAAATGAAAAATGTGATAAATACGTCATCACATGGGATCTTCATAATACGTTAAATTTAAAAATAGACAATCAATTTAAACGAGTCGCTGAATTTAGATTAGCGTAATAATGCAATTTATAAATTATAAAATTATTTCAAATATTCCAATACGATTTATTAGAGATTTTACCGATGGTATTTATTACTAAAACACAAGTACAAAAACACATTTTCACCAGTCATTCTAATTGAAAAATAACATCACAATACCTATGTTTTTGTAAATGTGTTTACGTGTTTAAGTGTACTTTAAAGGAGACACTCCCGAGTAGACAAGGACTTAGGGTGAATAAGACAATTTGTTTTCAAAGCGAAGTTTGGCTTTGTAAACGGCAGACTAAACACACATATTGTTGGGATATAAAGACAATTGAATGATTTGTCTTGGTTTTATGAGACCAAAATCTTCGTTTAAAACATTGATATTGACATGGATGTTACGTTTTATACAGAGATTTCAGTCTCAGAAACCAACGATTAAAGTGTAATCATAGCAGCATATTATACAAGGCGTAAAATATGAATTACACGAGTATATACATTGTATACATACCTCCTGTGCCTTCTTTGCCAGTCGTGTGATGAGGTTCTCGGGGTACACCTGGTGCACGGAGAACGAAGGCTGTTCAACGCCCGCTTGCCTCCGGATGTCTTCCCAACGCTCCTCACCGTACGTCTGTCGGATGTACTCCGCCATATTCTCTAGTAGGAGACCGTACATCTTGATATCTGGTGCAAAAGATTGATAATTTAGTAGCTTTAGCGTTGCGCTTAATTCTAGTTGTTTTCCCCCTATCCTTTTAACAAAGAAAGGATGGGAAGGGTACTTGGCGGATAAAAGATTCTACAAGAAAGGAATACATCCTTTTTTGTCAGTTACACATTAAAGATAGGCATTGACTCTGTTACTCTATGGGTAGAGATCTTCGCTTTCGCTTTAAAAAAAATAACCTAGATTTTTCTCTATTAAAGCGCTAATTTAGGGTGTCATTTGTGTGTTTTTTCTTCTGTGTGTCGTCTTAAACTAACTATCGTGATAAGGTTGACGTGATAGATAACTTGTTATCATACTAATATTATTAATGCGAAAATTTAGATGGATGGATGAATGTTTGAAGGAATCTTAGGAACGGCTCAACGAATCTCGCTGAAATTTCGGAAGAACACATAGGCTTTTTATTAAGTTTTTTTTTAATTCTGCGCGGATGGAGTCACAGGCGACAGCTGTTCTATAATTAACTCATTGAATGTTAGTTATTCTAACATCAAATTAAGTAATAAAGAAACAAAACACGATCTGCACAAACCAAATATGTATGGATGACGCAAATTATAACACATTAAATGATTTATATAGTATTGAATGGACGAGGTTCGTGGTCACTTATATATTCATAGATATAGCGAACCCATTTTGTTAACAGGATAGCGGTTGCAGTGTTTGATTCCTTAGAATAAAGGGCATGGATTGAAATAAATATTAGATCATTTTTTATTATTTGATTGGTTTTCAGTGGCAAAAAATCTATTCATTATTATATTGTTATCTCAGTTTTTATAGTGAGAAAGAAAGAGACGATATTTTATATGTTTCGTCAGTGAACTTACGGATTTTTTTTTAATTTGTCATTACGCAACGTCGTCCACTCTTATATTGATGTGATTGTTTTCTTTGTTTCTTTTATATTTTCTTTTACGTCTCGTAAATGTTACACAACGGGTGCAACAAAGTATGGCATTTAAATGTGATTATCCACGGTTAAGGACTCTTTTAATTACGTACTAAAGACTCTGAGTGTTGCAGATCATTTAATCACTCGCATCTGTTGTTAACTTCCTTTAATCGTTGTCGCTTTCACGGACTAGGACTTGGTTATGTTTCATATGTTTTTAGTTAAGACGTATAATTTTTTTCTCTATAATTTAATTATATGTCACTAATAACAAAGAATAAACCTGTTGTTACTGTCTATAATTGCGTTTGTGTTTAAAATTAGCTACACAACGCATTGTGACGCCATCTTGTCAAATATGGCGCGACAAAATTTGACAGCTGTAATAATATGGCGCCTATAAAAATGACATACGATTTTATTATTAAATCAGCCACGGTGTTGTTTTTTTTTAATAAAAATAAAGACATTATTAAAAAAAATACATTAATTCAATGTTGAAATGATTTAATTGCATATTTTAAATCAAATTTATCATCAACCTGACCTTATCCCTAATGAGGGTCGGCACAGTATGTACTACTCCTCCAAACATCTCTATCAACCGTCATATCCGAATCTAACCCCTTTCTACGCATATCCTCTTTCACACAGTCATTCCATACTTTTTTGGCCTTGAATTGAAAATTATCTATATTAATTTAATAAGCCAAAATATTAAGGTTTGTGTGGAATAAGTTCTTTTTAACGTAAAACGCAATATAATATTTGCATTACTTGATTTAAGAACATCTGCGTACAAAATAAGGTAGTAAAAGGCATAATTCTTTATTCACTTATGCTCTACCACGTTTTATGAAGTTCCATAAATATGATATGCAGAGGAAACCCTTACGGGGCTATAAAAAATAATGAACACGGTAATATAAAGAACTTTTAAAAAATTCGAGAAAATTCTATTTTCATTAATGCTTCAATAAAATTCCAATTTAATATGAAATACTAGCTGTTACCCGCGACTCCGTGCGCGGGAATATCTTAATTAATAACATTTATGTTCTTCCAGACTATGTTCTATATCTATGCCAAATTTTAATGAGATCCATGCAGCTGTTATCCTTCTAACAAACATCCAAATATTTACATTTACAATATTAGATTTTTAAAAATATCTAGAAACATCGGAACCTATTGCAAAAAAATACCAGGACAGCATAAGTAGATGTAGACAACAGTGTAGATTACATAGGTGTCAACAATAAGCGATTACGTAACGTAACCGCTATCGTCTAACACATCGATTAACTTGCACACAACTCATTCGATAGACGTGTGTAGAAAAATAAGATATCGTAAAGGATTATTACTATTGATGAGACGCATAAGTTATTTTTTTGGTTATAAAAAATTAAAATATTTTTAGTCACAAAAATAAAGAGTTTTTCAACAAAAAGCTGGAAGTTTCCTAAGAAATTCGTACTGTTGGAAACTTTAGTTAAGATGTTTTGTTTTCAAATTAATTAACAATAATAATGAAAATTAGATTAAATTTTACGAAGCAAAAGAATTAATTTCGTTAAAACAATGGATACTAACTTTGTAACTTCTATTTGCAAAGCAAATTAGTTTTCATTACGTTATTTTTTTATATTTAACTAGATAAGAAATTCAATTAATTTTAAGAATCCGCTAAGCAGTACCGAGGTTAGGGTAGAGCGGTTGAGCGACCGCCCAGGGCGGTGAACAGAAAAGGACAAAGGACAAGAAATACACAGCCTCACAAACCCAAAGACATATTAAAAGGGGGCGACGTAAAATTTCGCCAAGGGTGCCGGCAGCATAGAACCGGCTCTGCGGTTAAGCTCTTATACCAATTATTTAAAATCAACACTAACAATAAAGAAAAAAGATTTTGAATGACGAAATAATTACATGTTCCTGTAAAATGCTACATTGTCCCTAGGTAACAAAGGCTACATTCTTAACTAGCTGTCAACCGCGACTCCGTCAGCGTGTAATTAAAAAAAAATAATACCCTGTGTTCTTCCAGACTGTGTTCTACATCTTTGTCAAATTTCAACGGGATGCGTTCAGCCGTTCTGGATATACCTTCAAACAAACATCCATCCATCTAAACATTTGCCTTATCCTGCATGCCAAATGTTATGACAATTTAGTTTATAATATTATGTCAATAGATGGTGGACCGTATTACTAGATCGCGGTATTAATTTATTTGGTATATTTATCGATTTGCCAATTGCATTTCATTAAAATTGACTAGCACCAAGATATAACCAGTGTTTTATTGTGATTACTTGATACAACTCCAGTGAGAAGGAGACTTTTTGAGACTGTTATACTGCATCAGACATTCTGTTGATAGTATGATAGTAAAATGTATTTCATTTTCAAATTAAATGATAACAGTAACAGTTTATTTTGACTAACGTTCAAATTTGCATTGTATTTGAATTGTTGTTTACGCTAATTGCAACGTTGTGCGAAATAACTTATATATACATATGTTTATATTGCCCTTTCTCATCTTGAGTTTAATTAAGATTGTATACATCGTAATATATCTTACATTTATAACATACTAGCCGTCACCCGCGACTTCGTCTGCGCGGAATTCTTAGACCAAAATCTCGATATAAAATATATCGTCAATCTTCGAACGGGGGATTTGGTGTCAGAAACCCATGGTTAGTCGCACCGAATTATATATTATATAAAATTCTCGTGTCACAATTTTCGTTCCCATACTCCTCCGAAACGGCTTGACAGATTCTCATGAAATTTTGTGAGCATATTGAGTAGATCTGAGAATCGGCCAACATCTATTTTTAATCCCGCGCGGACGGAGTCGCGGGAGACAGCTAGTTGTTTATAAATAAACCCCACTGACCCAATTATAAGGTTTCGCTATTTTGTTGTTTGATAAGACCGCACAAAACATTTATAATTGTCAACCCGATGGCTTTAATTAAATCCGAAGATAACATGGCGCGTATCGCGTCTCTTTAAAATGATTTACCAAGATTCAATGATTACTAAGTAGTGATATTCTTAAAACCGATATTTGAAGGAGATTTAAAGACTAGGTGATCGGTCGGAGAAAAAAAAATATAATAGTTTTCCGTTATAAGCAATATTAAAAATTTTATATTACATTCAGACACTTCAATTTTATTAATAGTATAGATGACTCTCCTTGCCATAATTACAGATCTTTAAAGATTTATGTTATACCAGCTGTCACCCGCGATTCCGTCCGCGAGGTTTAAAAAAAAACTTAATAAGTAGGATTTGTGTTCTTCCAGACTATGTTCTATATCTATGAAAAATTTCATCGAGGTCCGTGGAGTCGTTCGAGAGATACCTTCTAACAAACATCCATCTATATAAACATTCGCATTTATAATATTAATAAGATACGATGCAAGTTTTATAGATCAAGTTATTGAAATGAAGATTACATTTAAATTTAGTCGTATATAACATTTCTCTCGGATTGGGTTCCACGTCCTCGGGGCAAGATTGGAATTGATTCCGCTATATTTATCGAAGCAACCGACTTATACAGGCTCCGTTTATCTAGCTAACGCTTCGTAAAATAACTTTTTCATAAATTAAACAGATTAAAAATAATTTTATGATTACGTAATTGATATTGTTTTTTTTATTTATATTTATCGTCAACTGGTTACGTTGAATTTTAATTAAAAAAAGACAGATTTATTTTAAACATGTCTGAACCTAATTAATACGCAATTTACAAGATAAATAATTTTATTTTAATCAATATCACGATTGAAAAAGATAGGCCCAAGACTTGCAATTTTAGCTTTTCACGGTATTAACATAATCTGTCGCGACGATATAAAAGAACATCCTGTAGTACAAATAACTTAACCTATTAATAAACCGCTTTCATACTTCATATGTTTAGAATAATAATAAAAAGAATGACAAAATCAAATGTTTATTCAATTACCGTAACTCAAACAACAATGGTCCCAAAAAACAATCCGAAATGCGAATTTTTT